AAGTATCAGTATCAGGACTAAACAAAGATTTATTCAGAGAGTCATATTTGTGGAACCAGTAAAGCACCGTATGGCTAAACTGGATTCAGGCCAACGCTTAATGGACTGACTACCTGCATGATTCAGTCATATCCAAAGGCACTGTTCTTAGCTTCTCCATCTGCACTACACACTGGAAATAGCTTGGGGTGGGAAATAATATCATGGATAAGCTCTTTTATATCCTCTCTCAGTTGCTTCAGTCCATTGAACAAGGCTACTCAGCATGTCTCTACAATAGGCCTTTTAGAATTATTTGCTTTCTTGAGCACCTCCCCATCAGAACAATGTATAAACAACTGAAAAAGCTATTGCTATTGGAAAGTTGTAATCCTTCTTTTTAAGAACCTGTTAATTGAATTTGATTTCATCTCATTCACTTCCTTAGCATCAAGTAAATTGAGTATATTTTAAAGAAGCAATGTAGGCCTCTCCAGATCCAATGATTCAGCATGGTAATGGAATTGCTATGCCTCACACTCAAGATCACTCATGTTTTTTTCTCCTCAGTCTGATATAAAGCAAAATCTCACAGGAACACTGGGATGGAATGAGTTGGTTGGTTGGTCTGCTCAGCTGAGGCTAATTTGGAGGCTGGGTCTGCTCAGCTGAGGCTATTTGGAAGCTGGGACCAACCACAGCACCGTGCCAGTGCCAAGCCCCATCCACGCCCAACCATCTGATGCTTGGGGGATGGCAGCCGCACTCCAGACGGCGGCCAGCGCCACCCTGCCGGGAGGGGACACCCACCTGCTCAGTCAGCGGGAACAGCAGCAGCAGCGCGCAGGCCGGGGTCGGCACGGCGCGCAGTGCCTCATCCTCGAAGCCCAGTACGTCCACGAAGCGCCAGCCAGGACCCACCCCGAGGCGGGACAGCACCTGCACGGGGCACAGAGAGCGGTGGCCCGGCCGCGCCACGCCCGTCCCCGCCGCGCCCGGTGACACAGCACAACGCGCGCCCCGCCGCGCCCCCTGCCGGCCGCGCCGCCCCGGGGCGCCCGGGCTCAGCGCCGCTCCGCAGGTGCGGCCGCGCCCCGCGCAGCGGAGCCGCTCCGCGCCCCGGCGGGGCGGGATGCCGAGGGACGGAGGCAGGAGCCGCTCCGCGCCCCGGCGGGGCGGGATGCCGAGGGACGGAGGCAGGAGCCGCTCCGCGCCCCGGCGGGGCGGGATGCCGAGGGATGGAGGGAGGCGCCGCTCCGCAGGTGCGGCCGGGTACCGCCACCGCGGCTGGCGCTCCCCAGGAGGGCGGCATGCCGAGGGATGGAGGGGGAAGGGCCGGCGCCCTCCCGCCCGCGGCGGTTCTCCGGCGGCGGCAACTCACTTTGTTCAGCATCTGGAAGACAATGCGGGGAGAGCGGGGTGAGGGGGAAAGCGTGAGTGCCGGTGAGAGACGGCGTCCCACCACCCGCTATGTAGCCCCAGCCCTGTCCCCGCTGCCCCTCGCGCACCTCGGGGTTGATCTCCATCGGCTGCCAGGCCATGGCTGCAGGGCGGCGGGAGCCGGGAAGAAGGCAGGCTGTGCCCCACGCACGACGATGTCCCCCGCGGCAGTTCCGCTGCCGAGCCGCTGGCGACGCTGGGGCGCGGAGCCGCCCACCCGCTCTTATATAGGGGCGGGCTGGCCCACTCGGCGCGGCGGCGGGGGGAGAGGGAGGAGCAGGGCCGGGGCGGGGGCGCGGGGCCGAAGGGCCGGGGGAGCCCGGCCGGGCTGCGGGGCCGGGTCGCGCCGCCTCCGCAGGAGCGGGTGCGGCCGGCAGCCGGGGGGACCCCGGGCTCCTGACGCTGCCGTGCAGAAAGTGCTGGAAGCGGCCCAGCAGCGTGGGCAAGCGGCTGGCATCACCCAGGGCAACAGGTTTCTCCTCCACCATCAGCCCAGCCCCTGGGCTCCGTGCATCCCGAAAGCCCAGTGTCTACATTTATGTGCCTAGCCGCTTCTAAGCATCAGACCCTGTTCTGTGTACGTTGCGTAAAGTATACAATAGTTTCGATGTTCAACAAAATCATTAAACACTTATTTTTAAATTTCCAGTAATGTTAATCTGACATGAAAGTCTCCTGCGTGCTGATTGTATCTCTGCATTTGGACCAGCCCCTGAACCAGTCCAGTGAAGCTGGTTAAAAAATAGTGGGCTTTTAATCTTTTATTCATGACCTGACAGTTTCTGTGCACAATGTCTTTGGACTAGAACATATCTGAACAAGGAAACAAAACCAACCTGCTCAAAATACTAGAAATCACGTGGACTCCCAACAGCTTTTCAGATTTTACTGGTAAACAGCCTGATGGGAGCCTTGTGGATAAGCGAGATGCTTCACAGTTGTCTTTCAAACAATGCAAATACTGAACAAAAGAGTCAGCTGAATGTCTGCAGTCTGTTTGGTTTTGATGACTTTCTTCCTTTGGTTTTTCACCGTGTTTCAGAACAATTTGGGCCCCAGCGCAACAAAATTTCTAAGTGCCTGCCTCATTTCAAGCACATTTAAATCACCTTTATATCTATTGCACTGTAATTTAGTGGGGAATCATTTACATCAGGTGGTTGCACATGTGCATTTTTGAACTGAGACCTAGTGATCAACATTACTCAGTTTACCATGAACTCCTTGGGAAAAAAGCCTAGAGTTAATCTTTGAAATATGGCCATAAAAGGTTCAGGACGCAGTCTCACACTAGTTCTACCTATAAGATGACTTAGTGAAGAAAAAGCAGGATAGCAAGGCAGGCTTTGTATTTTGTGGCCAAAGCTGGGATATTTCCAGACAGGATAAAGCCTTGAGCAACCTTGTCGAATATTTTAGCTGGTCATGCCTGGAGGAGGAAGTTGGTCTGCAGATATCCTGAGAACCCTTCCTGAAGTACGCCGTGATCCTGTGATTTACTCTATCACAGTAAAGGGAAGAGGAGCACACACGGTTCAAAACCAAAGATTTCTGGGGAGGACAGTGGAAAGTTTCACAGTAAATCACAGTATCATTTACTTCTGCTTTCCTTCCCCTTTACTGTAGCTGAAAACAGTCTTTGATGCCTATAAGCAAGATAAAATTGGCCCAAAATATTAATCCTATATATGGTATCTTTGACTATCTTTCCTTTTATGATGAACTCTTAATGCACTGTAAGATGCAAGGATATCAAAGCACCATGAATGAACACGTCCAATGCTAATGGTCCCTGACAGATATGTGGGAGAGTCTGCATGCAGCTCCTCTGAGAGGATAGCAAACACTCATCTTGCAGTCTACAAAAGAGAAGGCTAAAAAAGGCAAGAAAATCCTATTTCTGAATTGTGCAGCAGCAAATGGTGGTTATGACTCCAGTCTGCCTCAGCAATGGCAGTACTTAAATCCTCTAGACTAGCCATCCCTGGGATGGCTCCTGTGTCTAGGCTGTTGAGGGAGACTACAAACAGTTGTGCAAGTTTAATTTCAGGCTCAGTATGCCATGTACAGCATGCAGGAAGTGATAGCAGAACTGTTTCTATGGAAGAATCTGTCAAATCTATCAATACACTAATTTTAAAATAAACAGTAAGTGTAACAATATCAGACTTCTAAAACTGCTACTGTTGCATAAAGATGACTTCAGAAAGTCACGGAAGAAGTCAGTCCTGTGATGCAGCCCCTGTCCACCTCATTGCAAAGATGAAGGAAGCCTTTAGACCATCTTTCTTCAGAGAAGAAGATAGATGTGCCTAAGACATTTAATCCAATTCATTTCCATTACTGCAACAAAATTAATACTTACCAGGAAAAGTGACTGGCCATACTTGTGAACTTTCTGCACTGTCCAAATGTAGTAATAGTACTTGTGATGTTCAACTCAGTTCTCAGTGTTAAGGTTTTGCTCAGATGTCTAATGTAGAAAGAGAAATCTTTGCTACATATATGATCTTTTGGCAGATTGCTTTCTCTTAGACATGGGACTTGGTGTCAGTGTTTACCTTCTCACCTTATGCCGGTTGAAGGTTTATGTAAGAACTAGACCTACACATGAGGCATGTTCCTGAGTTCAGAGGATCTCCAAACAAAAGCACCTATAACAAGTAGGGTAGTAAAGGAGGCAAACCTGGCCTTAGACAGTGCAGAGCTCCCAAAATGGAAGCTGAGACTGTATACTGTTCTTTAGAAAATAACTTTCCTATTGTCCAGCCAAAATCCAAACCCTGAGGCAGTCCAAATCAAAATCTTCTGCAGTGTCCTCACCTGCCTAGCAAACATCTCAGACACATGTCTTTTCTTCATTTTCTTATAATGACCGCGTCCCAGAAGAAGGTTTCCAAATCCATGCCTGGAAACCTCCTTAATTCCCTACTCCCTTCCTTCAAAACAAACAATTATTGTCCATAGCTGGCTGACCAGGCAGCAGGATGCAGGTACATGGCTGTGCAGGTGCTGGAACCACAGGATTTACTGCATGTTGCCATTTTCCTGGTGACTGCACATTTGCATTTACCCTTCCATGAGTAGAAGGTGTTTGAGATAACTCTGCTGACTTACTGAAGTACCTCCACTGGCTTGGGGGGCAAATCCTGCTTGAGGTAAATTCGGGCTGAGGTAAATCCTGCAGTTAGCTCTGTTTTACCATAGCAGTGTGCTAGAGAGGGATTGGTTTACACAAAAATGCAGTATCCTTGCATGTGGATGGAGCAATGTTGATGCAGGGCCATGCTCCCTTTGGCATGCCTCCTGCTGTGACAGTGGCCCTGAAGCTGGAAACTGTGGGTCTCAACCCTAGCTCTAATGGCAGCTCTGGGCTGAAGCTATGGCCCAGAGAGAAAGGTGTGGAGGGAACAAACGTGTCCCTGGAATGGTAGGATTATGCTGCTCTAAATCCTAATCCTAACCCTCACCCAGATCCAAAACACGCCATTATGACAGATGCTATGGAGAAAAATATTTTCATTCCGATTAGAACCTGTACACTGTGTCACAATGTATCAATCATAAAACATATCTGAGGCCATTGCAGGGACAGTGGGTGTTGGGTATCTGTGTAAGGCTGTAACATCCCCCGCTTCTCTTCTGGTAAATTGTCCGGAGCACAGTAGCAATTCCTGCATGAGAGTGCCCCAGCCTTTAATTAGAAAATCAGAGGGATCAATAGGCCAAGCAACTGAGTGCTTTTATAGAGGGGCTGGGTCCATGAAAGATTTGAGCAGGAAGAGACACATCTGTTTGTTTCTGAATTACATCCAGGTTAATTTAGATACTTATGTGAGGAGCCTTGGTGACTGCAAGTCATGCAGTCCAGTATGTGGGGAAGTCTAACTCCAGCCACTACTCAGCACCTGGCTGTCAGCTGCTGCTCTCCAGGTCCGTGGGCCAGGAGCGCTGGGCTGAAACATCTCAATTGTCAAGCAGGAGACTTGCCAATGAAGAAATTCAAAGCAGCCTAGAGCTGAGTTAGGAATGGGGGGGGGGGGGGGGAAGGCCCAAATCTTGCTTTACTTAATGTAAAGGCTGGAAAATTTATGTTCTTGTATTCTCTTGTTCACAAGAAGCATATGTTTTGTCTAGGAAATTGAATAATTAAGGGCTTATGAGGTGGAGACATAATGAAGGATGTGATCCCCGTCTGACCTGAGATGAAGACCAGCTGGAGAGGGGTAACAGAAGCAATGCAGATAAAAGCATCAAGCTGATGAAGGTGGCTGCTCAGCCAAGGACTGCCTTTGTGTGTATTGACTGCTAGCAGTGACTCTGCAATTGCTCTGAACTACAGCCAAGTCCACCAGCAGGTAAAGAATGTATTCTACAGAATGAAAGAGCTCTTCTGGAAGTCTGTAAATGGAAGTGTTAAACTGCTGAAATGTAGCTTTGAAGGCTTGCCTTGAAAGTCTCAGTTTCAATGAGTGCAGCCATGCTTTCCTTGATTTCAGATCTGTCTGGCAAGATGCTGATAATTCTTTGCTTCATCCCTCTGAAAAATCATGTCCACCAAAAAATGATAGTGTCTACCAGAAGCACAGCAACAGCATGCTTTGCTTCACAGTAGGACAAACAGAGAGTGACTTCCACTTTTCACAAGGAAAGGTAGGAGGGACATCATTGTGGACAAGGGTTGCTTATTTTCCAGGAAATTATATACTATCACTTTATGAAAGATATGAAAGCTTGCAAGGCTTGTCTCAATGGATAAGAAGGACAGTATGCTGGCACCTGGGCAATCAGCATCTGTCTCCTTTCCCTCAAATGCTTTCTTTGGTGATGTAAGCCATCTATCCTTTTTCCTTTATAGGCAGGAATAATCCATCTTTCTAGTCCTGTAGAAGAGAACAGTCCCTGCTTCCTTCCTCTTTGTTTTGTTGACTTAAATATTCTTAGGATTAGTGCTTTTATCTAGACATGTAAAATATACATTTCAAGAGGAAAGGTCCTCTTGAAATTCTGTGCAATGATTTAGCATAATACATGTAATAACTAATAAGAATTAATTTTCATTTCAATGTAATACTTGGATGATCCGTGATGAGGACTTGCATACCTACTTACATTTTTATCTAGAGAATGCTTTCCTCAGATTAACAAAATGAAACAAGACAAGCTGTATAGTTTTAAACTATTGGTTGTGAGAGATGTAAATAGCAGCACTTGACTCTTGTAATACACTCTCTAGTGCAACACTGTGCCTCTTTCCAAGTACTTTGTGCCAGGCCATCCTGGGGTGACCCCAGTCTGCTTCTCCCCACACTCTTCAGTTTCTTCAGCAAAGATAGCAAAACCTATCCTTAGATTTGTTTCTGAATGCTCAACAGCCATACAATAGCACTCAAAAAGCATTAATCTCTCCCTGAGCTTACCTTAGACAGGATGAGTTTCTTGTGAAACAAAATAAAAGGCTGCTTCAAATCAGCTCTGGAGCAGTAGCCACTTCTAAGCTGGAGGAGAGTAGCAGAAAACAAGGAGAGATGAGAAATGTTGTCAGTCAGTTGAAAGATTATCAAGACATTGAGTCAATAGTACTTTTACAGTAGTAGAGATGCACTTCCTCAGGCTTATGGGGTGCTGAGGGAAAGACACAGGCCATCTCCCAAATAGCTCTTTATGTCAGCAGTCTCCAACCTCTAGAATTAAACTATTTCAGGGAAAGAACAGAATATATGCCTTAAAGAGCTGCTGTGGATCTAACTTCTGGATCCAGTCTATTGTCACCTGCACTCTCTTTACATGCTAATGTAGCTTTGGTGTTTCTGGGGGAAATGTGAGGAGAAAATGAAGAAATTGGCTAGCCTGTTTTTGGATGAAGAAGAGAGAAGTATGGCTCTACCAGAAGGATTTTTGTGTCTGTTGAAGAAAGAAGAAAAAGGGGTTTGTCCATCTTGCAGGACAACAGAGGCCCCCTACTCTCATGTGCAGGGGTTTACTGTGAAATCTTGTAACTAGTCCAAGTCAGCACAACAAACCATCTTACAATACATCCTGGATATCAGCAATCTTCTTTTTGGGAGAAGGAGAAGCTGACTGATAGTGATGGGCAGATGTAAAAGGCTTTTTATCCTTTTTTATGCAAATTGAGACCTTAAGCAGAATTTAAAGTAGTTGACTACTGAAATCACTGAACAACAAAGCCACTTCATGAAAATATATAAATGAATAAATAATAAGAATCCCCAACCCCCCATGTTTGTTTGGTTTTTTTTTTTCAGAATCCTGAAAGATGGTTGCTTTTTCCACATAACTGACATGGTCCTGTATTCTTGATGTATCTTATGATTAGTCTTCTGGTCAACTGTCTTCACCTGATCTTTATGTATATGTTCACCCCTACTTACAGACATTCTGAAATAAGTTGTGCTCAGCTGAACATGACCTCTAAAATCTTCACTTGCATAACAAAAATGTTCCGGGTAGTACAAGCTACCCTGAACTCCTACACATCAACAAGGACAGATGTAGCACAGTATTTACACTAACTTGTGCCAAAGGATTTGCTGCCTAATCTACATGTGCGCATTCCTGAGAAGTGTGGGGATTTTGATTTAATTAGAGAAGTGCTCTGATCTAAGCTTTAGCTACAGACAGTCTACGAGATGTTCAAGCATGGTTCTTCTGTTGGAGCTACTTCACTGGAGAGTGATGTTAGCACAGAGCTGCTGCCAGTCCAGTGAGTGAAGCCAAGAGGGTGGGGTCCGTGGACCCCAAGCCCTGCGCCTGCCCTAAGCCTGCCTAGCTAGTCCTGTCCTGAAGTGCGCTGCATGGGAAAGATATTTTCTGCATCTGAGACAGTGTCAAACTACCTCTTCTTAATCACTCCTAAAGCATACCTTAGAGTTCCCAGCCTCTGCATATACTTGGTGTGCAGGCCTGCCAGGGTAGTGACTCAGAGCAACACAGCTTTGACTCTTTTTCACTGTGATCATGGTAAATAAAAAGCCTCACAGACCTAGATCTGAGCTGCTCTTGCTTGTCCACCCTGTAACAGCATATAGAAGCATTAAATGCATCCCTTAGTCATGCTAGCAGAGTGTGGTTTTTAGGCAACAAGATCTTCAAAGTCTTTACTGTACCAATTCCTGTGTTAATAACAAATAACTGTAGTTAGTCATTTGAACTTACAAGTCAAGGCTTTGCTTTCAATATCTGTAAGAATGAGACATTTAACCTTACATTAATAGCCACTTTCTAGAAGTACATGTGGCAGAACATAACCTTTTGGTTAAGTTACAATGCTGACTCCAAGTGTTTTACACGTGGTGACCACCCAGTGTCTTGCTAATGCAGAACAGTTGTTCTGTATGTGCTGCTCACACCAGCTGGGCCATGCAGCAGCACAGGGGTCCAGCTGCTCTGACACTGCTGGAGATGTCACTGGTGGAAGGTTATTAGCTTGGCTCAAGTGCAAGCAATTAACTTTAAAAACACAGTGAAACAAATCCAGTTGGGAAACATCAGCCCTTCCAAGCTGCCTTTGACCCAGACACTCTTAGAACCTAATACTATAGTGCCTCCTGTGCATCTTCAGATGCTGCTCTCAGAGCACCAGCTGTGCAGAGAAAGGGAAAATTTTTTTCCCTCTCTGCTTCAGGAAAGAATTTTTTTCCACTACACAAGGAGGAGAGTATTTCTAAACATCCAACTTTAGAGAAGTGTTTAGACAGTGTTCGTCACTGATAAAGAAACTTATTTTCTGAAGATCGGTTAAACAAGTGCTGTTTTGTATTGTTTACCCAAAGCACATATTGGTATGAAGAACACCATCATTTGGACCTTGAGCCATACTGTCTCAGTGGAGGAGTTTAGCTTATGAATATGCATGCTGAAACAAATCCCTGTCTCAGTGGAGAAAAATATTTAGATAGTGAGGGAAACTACACTATGGATCAGAAAAACAATGGGACTCTATCACATTCTACAGTTGCAAATATAAATACAAAACATGCTGCTCTTTCCTGTGTATGTTTATACACGTAAGGCAAAATTCCCATTGAGTGCATTTGCAGCCTGGGCTTTTCTAGCTGTATTTAGGACATTAGGCACTGGACTTTTGTCTCTCTTGTTTCAGAGACAAAGCACTGGCCTTCTGCTGTTAGCAAACCTAGCGTTTCCAACTTTATCTTAGCTTTTTGTACCTCTTAATGTGTATTAGTGGATGTGAGTGTGTATATATGCATAACATAGAATCATAGGATTCTAAAATGGTTTAGGTTGGAAGAAACCCTAAAGATCATCTAGTAAGGATGATAGAATCATAGAATATCCTGAGTTGGAAAACCCACAAGGATCATTAATGTCCAGCTCCTGGCCCTGCACAGGAAAACCCCAACAATCACACCACGTGTCTGAGAACATTTTCCAAATGCTTCTTGAACTCTGTCAGGTTTGGTGGTGTCTTGGTGAATCTCTGGGGAGCCTGTTCTAGAGTCAAACCACCTTCTGGGTGAAGACACTTTTCCTAATATCCAGCTTAAACCTCCCCCTGTCACAGCTTCATGCTTTTTCCTTAAGTTCTGTCACTGGTCACCACAGAAAGCAGTGTCTGCCCCTCCTCTCCCCCTGTATGTGTAATGAGGTCTCCCCTCAGTGTCCTCTTCTCCAGGCTGAACAGACCAAGTGCCCAAGATGTTCTTGTATGGCTCCCCCTCATGACCCTTCACTCATCTTCATCGCCCTCCTTTGATCTCTCTCTAATAGCTTCATATACTTCTTGTGTTGTGATGCCTAAAACTGCACACTATATTCAAGATGAGGCTGTACCAGTGCAGAGCAGAGCAGGACAATCCCCTCCCTTGCCCAGCTGGTGATGCTGTGCCTGATGCACCCAGGACAGGGTTGTCCCTCCTGGCTGCCAGGGCACTGCTGGCTCGTGTTTACCTTTCCACTGACCAGGACACAGAGGTCTCTTTCTAAAGTGCTACTTGCCAGCATCTCATTCTCCAGTTTGTATGTATAACCCAGGTGCAGAATCTATGATTTCCCCTTGTGAAACTTCATACAGTTGGTGGCTGTCCAGCTCTCTAATTTTTCAAAGTCTCTCTGCAGGACCACTCTATCTTCTAGGGAGTTAACAAATTCTCACAATTTAGTCCTGTTGATAAACTTAGTTTACTTTCAGGTCCTGCTTCCAAGTCAATTATAAGGATGTTGAAGAGCACTGGCCCTAAATTAGAGCCCTGTGGAACCCCACTAGTGACAGGTCCCCAGTCTGATGTCACCTCATTCACAAAAACCCTTTGTGCTTGATGCATTAACCAGTTGCTCACCCATCCCATGATGTGTTTATCCAGCTGTGTGCTGAACATTTTGTCAGAAGGATACCTGAGAAACAATATGGAAAGCTTTACTGAAATCTGAAAAGATTATATCAACTGGCTTCCCTTGATTACCTAGGTGAGCTAATTTGCCATAAAAGCAAATGAAGTTAGTGAAACAGGACTGTCCCCTCATGAAGCCATGCTGACTGTGACCAATGACCATGTTCAATGACCTTCAACTGTTTTTTAATAACTCCTAGAATAATTTTCTCCGTAATTTTACCAGTCACTGAAGTAAGAATGACAGATCTGTAGTTCCTAGGGTCATCCTTCTTGCCCTTCTTGAAAACTGGAACAACATTTGCCAGTTTCCAGTCAACTGTGACCTCTCCAGATTCCCAAGACTATTCAAAAATCTTTGAGAGAGGTCTCAA